CCTGCCCCGGAGCCGGGCAACTATTAATCTTGGTTGACGGTTTCTCACATCCTAATTGGGAAGTGGGGGGAGCGGCCCAGTCCGCCCTAAAGGTAGAAGCGGCTAATGGGCCTCTTCATCACCGCCAGGAGCCGGTCCCCTGCGGAGCGCCAGGGCGCTGCAGCAGGTGAGATGCGGAGCTGGCGGAGGCCCTTAATGAAGCTGTACGAGGTGGGGCGGACGTAGAGGATCTCGCGGGGAGGGAGGCGGTTCCAGGTGAAAGGATGGTTCGTCCACCCCCGCGCAGACAGCACAACTCTGATACTCAGTTGGCCTCAATTTACCTGAGGAGGCCTTCTGGGTCGCAGTGCTGGTGGCGGGGAAAGAATGTTGAGCAGACCGTGCAGATATGGATTTTTTCAGAGGTGACAGGGATCAGTTGGGATTTGGAGAAGGATCTGAGATCCGGGTCGCCCTACAATAGCAAGGACCGGGCACTAAGTGGGCGCACCGAAACTCCGCAGAACCAGCAGGTCCCTGACTCCCTGGCTCATCTATTAAAGATGCCGAGGTGCCGAAACTGCGGCGCCAAAACCATGAAGATAAATTTTTAATCCTGAACAAAAAGATACCAGGAGATGGGGGATGCAGAAGAAAAATGACCTTCAAGGCTTGACCCAACATGTGTTGGGGAGCGATGTTACAAGCAAGTGTGAATTCCTGGGCCTTCAGATCCCAGTGATTCAGAAGGTCCAGTCTTTTCAGAGCCGCATCCCTAACCCCTCCATGGCTCAGTTTCCCTTCAGAGACAGGTTTGTGAGTTCCCCGGCCCTCCAACTCCCAATCTAGTATCTCTTTTATCATATGCCAGCGAGACTCATTGCAGTCAACACCCCCTCCCCCATCCTGACCCAAACTGCCCTGGAGTTGGGGGCTGGGCCCACCCAGCTGAAGGCAGCCGCCCCTCGGCCCTCCCCTGGGACTCGCCTAGTGCTGGAGCCCAGGCTTCTCTGCCGGCTTTGCTGTCTCTGGCTCGCTGTCAGCCTCTCTCTCGCCCCATCCCGCATCCCGCCGCATCAGAAATATATTGTGTTCTCACCTAATCCTGTTCAATTACAGCATAATAAAACACATAATAAAAACCTAATTCATTTTTCTTCTGCGCCCCCCATCTCCCGGAATCTTCTTACTTGGGATTAAAAATTTGTCTTCATGTTTGTGGCACCGCAGTCCGGCGCCTCGCATCTTTAATGTATGAACCAGGGAATTAGGGACCCGCGGGTTCTGCGGTTTTCGTGGCCAACGGCGCCTGCTAGTCACTTGAGGATACCAATGAGGATGGAGAGAAGGCTGTGGCCTTGCGAGAGGCCCCAAAGGCACACACCTTCTCCCTTCTCCTGATGGGGGCGTTCAAAGGTCCCAGATTTCCAATGACTGGGAGAATAGCATCTCTTCCGTTCCACAGATCCCGTGTGGCCTCCACGAGGTGAAGCTCGGAATCGCTCTGTGGATCAGGTTGGCCAAGGAAACTAGGTCTACCTGGTGCAACCCAGAGGGAGACGCAGATTAGGGGCCTCCTTTGCTTCTGACCGCCTGAGCTGGCCTGGCCAGTGAAGCTCTGATTTCTAAATCTCCATCACCATTCCAACCACCATGCAAGTCTCTGGGGGCTCCCTAATACCTTCTGTTCACATTGTGAGCAACTCTGGATCACTGAAATAAGGTTAGAACTTCCCAAAAGGAATTAGGAATCCAGTAAAAGGCTGGGGGTGTACAGTGCTTGCCTAGCACGCAGTGAGGCCCTGAGTTCATCCCCAGCACTACAAAATGAAAAGAAGAATCCAGTAAAAGAAAATCTCCTACCGAGGCACAGTATGCGGTGAGTTTACAGATCTGAGACCTAAATACAACCCCAATTATATTATTTCATTCTTTCATTTCTTCCTTCATTCATTTACAACAGAAGTTCCCAAATTTTCTACATTCATGGAACACTTAGTTTCTTGGTATTTTTTTCCCCCTCCACAGCATCCTAGGTCAAAAGAAATATTTAACTGGGTGTGGTAGCACATCTATATTTCCAGCTACTGAAGAGACTGAGACAGGAGGACTGCTTGAACCCTGGAAAACAGCAAGTGAGATGCCATCTCAAAAAGGAAAAAAAAAAAAAAATAGGGGATGGGGTTGTGGCTCAGCATTAGAGCACTCACCTAGCAAGAGTGAAGTGAGGCCCCCAATGATCACAGTGTGGTGCCAGCCCCAAGAAGCTGCAGAATAGAGGGTGAATCAGCCCCACAGGGAGTTGCCAAAGGAAATTTGCCAAAGGAAAAAGGATTGGCACATGCAGGGAAACAGATAAACTGGCCCAGCCAAGAGAGTGGCTCTTGTTACATGTACTATACACTTCATGCTATCTTCTGGAGAGACATAAGAGGGAGGGGTCATCCTCCTCTTGGCTGTCATATCTTGAGACAAGTTTTACATTGCTCAGGGGACTTTTCAAGCCAAGATCCCCATAAGATTCTTATGTACCTCTGGGAGGAGGGTCATGCTCCCCTACCCTCCAGGCTGAAAACCACTAAAGGTCTAAGCCATTGTTTCTCTTGTGGATGTGTCATGTTTTTTAGGTTTGTTGAAATGCCTTAGTGATCTTAACCTAGGATAAACATAGGAGTGGGGTTTAGGGTACTTTGGGATTCCACATTCATTTATTCAACAAACAAATATTGAGTATTTACTGTAGATCAGGCACTATTGTAGATGCTGGGACATATAAAAGTGAAGATATAAGCTGTTGTTTCATGTGGGTTTTAAGTTTTTTTATATATAAATTTATTTATTAGTTTTTTTCGGTGGACACAACATCTTTATTTTTTATTTTTATGTGGTGCTGAGGATCGAACCCAGTGCCCCACACATGCCAGGCGAGTGCACTACCACTTGAGCCACATCCCCAGCCCTGTGGGTTTTAAGTTTGCAAGATGAAAAAATTCTGGAATCTCAGGACAAGGTGAACATATGCTTAACACTACTGAACTGTACACTTAAAGTGATTAAGATGGATGTGTGTGTGTGTGTGTGTGTGTGTGTGTGTGTATATATATATTTGGGGGGGTAATAGGGATTGACCCAGGGGCACTCAACTACTGAGCTACATACCCAGCTCCACCCTGCCCTTTTTTTTTTTAAATATTGAGACAGGGTCTTGTTAAGTTGCTTAGGGCCTCATTAAGTAGCTGAGGCTGACTTTGAACTTGCTATCCTTCTGTCTCAGCCTCCTGAGCCACTGGGTTTACAGGCGTGTGCCACCACACCTGGCCAAGATGGTAATTCTTAGGTTTATATGTTTGAATCAGAGTTAAAAAAAAAAAAAAAAGTGAGGCCTGAGGCTACAACTCAATAGTAGCATGCTTGCCTGGCATGAGTGAGGCCCTAAGTTCAATTCCTAGTACCACAAAAAAACAAAAACAAGACATGGGGACTTCTCTGGGGGAGGGGATTTTCATTTAAGCTGGAGAGAAACATCTGTATAGGACCAATAATAACATATATTGTAGTAAATGCCAATTAAGGTGATAACCAGCTCATAAGTGTTGCCCTTCTTTAGGAACAGTTCCAGCCTCAGAGGTGAACCTGAAGGAATGATGTCCAATGTCCTTTCAACTTGACCCTGATCTCTGGCCACCACCAAGAGGTAGACAACTGATCTAAATTGTACTGATTTTTGGAACTAGATAGGAGCTGGTGGAAGCTGTCACCTGAATGGCAGTGCCCATAAACTCCAGCTGCTGAGGTAGCAGAGCTACCTGGCTTCCTGATCTTTCCAAGGCTTATTAGCACCATCTCTGCTTATGAGAGTTATAACCAATCCCTTTCAATATATCCCCCTATTTACTGATGCTAGCCACAATCATTCTCTATTGCTTTCAACAAAATAACTTTAAACTCAAATCTGCTGAGGCAGGAGAATTGCAAGTTCCAGGACAGTCTCAGCAACTTAGCCAGACCCCCCCCTCAAAAAAAAAAAAAAAAAAAAAAAAGAATAAAAAGGGCTGGAGATGAAGCTCAATGGTAAAGCAGCACCTGGGTTCAATTCCCAGTACAAAACAAAACAGGGCTGAGGGTGCAGCTCAGTGGCAGAGTGCTTGCTTAGTATGCCCCAGGCCCTGGGTTCAACTCCCAGCATCACAAAACAAACACCAGGACTACTCCTTCTGGGAAAAAAAAAACCCAAAAAACTGTCAATTGCCAGTTGAGTGAAGATTTGCTGGTGACTGGCGGGGTGGGGGGTTCAGTAGAAGGAAAATAACAGGTGGTTAATTTATAGATCAACATAGTAAACTTCTGTTCCACAGGCAAGCACTTTACTCTGAAGGAGCTTCCTCGTGCCTGTTAGGTATGGGGGTTATTTTTCTACTGGACGTGTTGGGTGTGGGTAGGGTTGTGTGTGTAGCCCAAGCTAGGTAGGGTTCCTCCTATGTTGCCCAGTAGTTTTAACAGTTGCAAAATCTAGCTTGTCTGAGAAGATTGGAAGACAAGCTAGAAGCACCCAGGCCTGGAGCCGGTTCTGCCACTGTCCTCTGCAGTCTGGGTGGGTACTGGAGCTCAGAGGACCCCCAAAGAGGAAAATGATGTGAATAAAGGAAAAAGAGAAGGGGGCACTCCAGGAACAGAATGATCCGGCCAGGCCAAGATTTCTCCATAATTTATAGCAAAAGGTCGTCCCCACATCAGGCCCAGAGATCATGGCAACGTGCATATTAACGAACAAGAACTGGAAGAAGCGCCCCAATACTCGCCAGGCACCGGCTGCGTCTCTACGGTTGAGAAGGCAGCTACTCTGTTCACCCAGCGACCCATTTCACAGTGCAGGCACAGAGCCACGGTGAACAGGATTCAGTAGACGTTTCCTGACTGCTGGGAGCAAAGGTGAAGAGAAGGAGGAGCGAGAGGCTGACGCGGGAGTTAGAGCCAATAGCCTGGAACGCGGCGGGAGGGGGTGGGAATCCGGGTTTGGGCAGGAGAGGCCTCGCGTGACTCCTCGAAAACCCCGCGGGTGTCACGGCAGGAAGTCAAAGGGCGAGCGCTGGGAAGATGGTGGGTTTTGAAACGGGAAAGGAAAGAGAAGAATTCGGCGGATTTAACTGTCCAGGACTGAGGTCAGCGGGGAACCAGACCCGAGTCGCAAGTTCCAGGCTCAGACTCGGGATTGTGAGCTGGATTCGCCTCTAGTGGGGATAAAGCCGTTGCGCAGGAAACGAAAAGGAAGCGGAACTGAGCCTCGCTTTGAGTGACAGCCACAGCTGGAGGCGGGCCCTTGTCCGGACGTATCTACGTCCAGGAGGCGTGACTTATCCGAGACTGAATTGCCCTGGGGGCAGGGTTCCAAACTTAGGGCACCGGACTAAGCTAAAGTCTGACTAGCACAACCCCACAGGACCGAGCTGAAGCTGGCCTTAACCACCTGTCCTTAGGATGCCGGCCTGTCTCATTAGTCCCAGTGATAAGGGAAAGAGTAAGGATGTGCTCACTTGACCTCTCCCTATGGCCAGGCTGGGCCAAGGCTCCAGGACTCAAGCTATTATTTTCCCTTAGATCATGGGTAGGGAGGGTTGTGGTCTTTCTGGACTTAATAATAGGCAGGGTAGAGGCTTTGAAACAGAAGCTAGACTAAGGGAGGAAAACTGGAGAGGGAAGGCCAAGGACACCTGTATGGTTTCCCAGAGAAGATTCTCAAAGTCTGATCACTGAAAGAGCGGAGGCCCAACTAAGACTGGAACAAAGTAACTTTCCAATGAAAAATTGCTGTCTCTGTTCAAATGCTGACTTCTGAGGGAAATTCCAAGTATATAGAAGCAATTTGGAGAGTATACCTGGCTAGGATTTGTCCCTTGAGAGCCTGTGAAGTGCCCTGTCGCTAACTTTTGTTGTATTTGAGAAACTGGTGTGGAACTGGGAAGGATAGACGACAGGAAAGCACTCCTTCCTAACCAATCCACTGATGCCCTGTTAATTTTCTCTCTGATGCAGTTTAGCATTATCTTTACAGCACAGATAATTCTGTTATAAAACATTCTTACCAGATTTGTAAGAGATTCCTGCACTTCACTCCTCAAATGGGTTTATCCTACATAGATTCTTCAGTAAAAGTCCAAGACTTTTCAAGGGAATTCCCTAAGGCCAAAGCTTAATTATACAAAGAGCCTTCCAGAGTTGACCCAGGGATCCAGCAGGCTTGGTGGGACGTGCTGGTCTGATTGGCAGAATGGGATGGAATTGAAACTGCTCTTCTGTTATCCCATATTCAATCAAGAAAGGGAATTTTTGCTTACATGCAGACTGTAATACCCTCAAGTTTGGACCTGGTGTGGTGGTGCATACTGTGATCCCAGCTACTGAGGAGGCTGGGGCAGGAGAATCACAAGTTAAAGATCAGCCTGAGCAACTTAGCAAGACCCTGTCTCAAAATTTAAAGATTAAAAAAGGGCTCAGTGGTAGATTGCTTGCCCAGGATGCACAAGGTTCTGGTTTCAGTCCCCAGAAACACCTAAGGGGAAGAAAAGAAAAAAAAAAAAAAAAAAAAAAGACTCTTAAAATTTGGAAACTCCTTAGTGATGTTAGTGAAAGTTTGTTTGTTTTAGAGGAGGAAAAGTTTTATTTTGGATTTAAGGCTCATAGTTTAGAAGTCTAAGTTCATAGACAGCTGACTTCATTGCTCTGGGTCCAAGAATGAGGCAGAACAAAATGGCAGAAGGGTGTGGTGGAGGAAAGCCAGTCAGGACATGATCATCAGGAAGCAGAGCTAGTGAAAAGTTTGTGTACACTTATGGACCTGTCAGTTTTGCTGGTCTGTAAAAAGACAGGAAGGAGGTGCCCTGGAATGTCAAAAGGACCAGAAAAGTAACCTGAAGTTTGGCTGGCAGGTGAGAAATACAGGACAGTGTCTTCAGAGTCACAGACCTCAGCATGAATAGCAGTTTGCTATGGGCAACTTTCTTAATATCTCTAAACCTGTGTTTTTGCTAAGAATGGGCATAACAAACCAGGTTTGGTGGGTGGCATATACCTGTAATCCCAGCTACTCAGGAAGCTGAGGCAGGAGGATTGCAAGTTTCCAACCAGCCTCTACAATGTAGCAAGACATTATCTTAAAATAAAAAGGGCTGGAGATGTAGCTCATTTGTAGAGAACCCTGTGTTCCATCCCCAGTACTGCAAGAAAATAAAAGAAAGAATGGGCATAACATGTCCACTTGGCAGGGATGGTTGTAAAGATCAAGAATCCTTAAAAGTACTTGGCATCATTGATCCTGGGACCTCACAGAAGGACTCAGGGAACAGGAGCTAGTATCAACCCCACCTCCAAGAAAATACCCCAGGATGAGTAAGTGACCCTAGGCCAAGGTTCACTTCCAGCTGCTCTAGGACCAGTCAGTCCTAAAAATATTCCCCTACCACCTAAGATGAAAAGGGAAAGTGAGAGTTATCTCCCTGCAGGGAATGGGGAGTAGATTTTATTATAGACTCACTTATATTTATTCCCAAAAGTTGGGAGAAGAGTGGCAACTATAAGCTGTTGAATGTTAGCCCTTAATGGCTATACATAATGTGAACTTTCAGCATCATTTTTCTAGGAGAGAGAGAGAGAGAGAGAGAGAGAGATTACATGAGTAGGGAGGGTGTGAAGGGTCCCCAGGGTAGTAGAAAGGGGTAACTGTCCTTCCAGGCCTATTTCCATGGTGAATTGATGGGGTATTGGTTCCCTAATAGCTTTTCTCTGATGGAGCTAGACAGACCTTGGCCTTCTCTCCAGAGGCCTCCTTAGGGACCACAGGTCGCCATTCCATACAGATGCTTGAAGGAAACCAAGAAGCCCAGAGTCTGAATTGATATGTAGGTCTGTGATCAGCACTGCTGGTGAAGAGGAAAATGAAGGCAAGACTCCACCTTCAGAGGGAAAATAAAGGTGCTATTGAAAGGATTGATTTTTTTCAAAGCTCAGAGTGCCCTCTACTGGGAGATGAGGCTCCCTTCAGACAGGTAGGGACCCAGACTTTGGGGAGAGAAGGGGAGGCTGCAGGCAGGCAATTCTTCCTGGACACTCAGGACGTGTAATCAAGTGAAAATCAAGAAGTAGACATATTTGCAGTTTATTGACTAACCATGGTATCGTAGCTGTTATCACCGGGTACAATGGATTAGAGGGAGAGGGAAAGTGATCTCAGAAAATCCCATTGGACCCTTTTATCCACCTCACCCACTCTTCAGCCAGAGGTCACGGGAATTGGAGTCCTGGCTTAACTCTACTCTCTGGATTCACTGCTACCCATTTCATCCCCAAACCCATCTTCCATTTGGTCCAGACATTGAACCTGGGCCCTTCTTCTTCTTGGAGGTGAGGGTGGAAGGAGGAGAAGGACCAAGCCTCAAGAAAGAGAAGAAAGGGCTGAGGGTGTAGCTCAGTAATAGAGCATATGCTTAGCATGTGTGAGGCCCTGGGCTTGAACCCCAGCACCACAAAAGAAAAGAAGGAAGTAGCTAATGTGGGGGTTGTGAATGTCTTACAGGTCAATGGATCACAATATTCCCTGTCTTTAAATATAAGCTTTGGGTCTGTGGAGTTGAAGCACCATTCCCATACATGTCCCTTTGTGAGCAAGGATGACAGTGACTCTTAAAGGAGAAGAATGCTCACTCTGCCCATGTGGTTTTCTGGTTGGGGGACGATTGGGATTGTTAGATATGTGTTTTGAGATTATGATGTTAGAGAAGACCAACAAATCCTCAAATTGTGCCTAAAGATACCTACATAGGAGAGAAAAGGGCAATACAGGACACTGACACTCCTTTGTTCTGGTAGAGAAAAGGAGAAGAAATGGAGCTATTCCAAGAGGTTGGGTATAGTACCAAGGGACACATAAGCCCCTGACTCCTGGCTTCAGACATGGCTTCCTTTGCTGGTGCAGGTCTTAAGCTAGCTATAGCAGTTGGGTGCCAGAAATCTGAAGTATTCATCCCAGTTGGCCTGCTAGTGTCCCTCAGTTTCTGTCCTGAGATCCCCAGGGCTCCTCCTGTGTCCAGAAAGGGTGAGGTTCTGTCAGAAATGACTTGACCCATGGAACAATTTAGGGAAGGAAGAAAGTGTCACCTGTAACCTGGCTTGCTGGTAGGCAGACAAGAGGCTGAGGAGGGAAGCCAGATATCAGAATATCCCAAGGCAGCATGTCTGCTCTTAGCTTCCAGGACCAAATGTATCAACATATATATGTATCATGTATGTATGTGCAGACACACAAGCACAGAAGGGAGGGGTGATGTGACCCTGCTCTTTGAAATCAGAGGAAAGAAAAGACTTTTTGAGGGCACTTCCCCCAGCTTAATGGATTGTTGCTCTCAGTGACTGCTCCCCTATCACACCCCCTGCCCAGTACCAGGCTGATGGGCAGTGGCATAGAAGGGAAGGGAGGCACTAAAACAGCAGCTCAGGGAAGTGAGGTAGGGGACAAAGGCTGACCCTCCTTAAAGCCCCTTGTTGTAGTAAACCACCTCGGTGCCTGGGTTTTGCTCCTGGATCTGAGCTCTCAGCTCCGGCTCCAGCCTGTTCACTTGTATAGAGCTGCAACAGAACAGCACAGGACCCAGACCCTCAGGCCCAGGATCACCATCCCTCCTCCCACCATCCCATCCTCCTCCCTCCTCTTTTGCTTCCAGAAGAGCTGGCTCACTGTCATTACCCCACCCCCCAAATCAATTGAGTGTTTGCCAGGCCTCCCTAGAACACACCACGGAGCCCCAGGTGTGTTCCAGGGAGGCCCAGGCGGTGCTGTGAACTCGACCTTCAAGGACAGGGGCCATCCCCTAACACACACAGAGATATGGGGACCTGTTCAGAGTTCCCAGCCAAGGCCAGTGGGCACCACTTACCTTCTTTGGGGGAACAGGGCACAGCACAGGGGAGTGGCAAATATCAGGCTAGGAGAGAAGAGTGGTGAAAAGGTTTGTGAAACTTTGGTCTCATAGTGCTCCCTTCCTGC